TTACCTTCTACTTTTGTAGCTCTTGTTCGTTTCATTGGTATGAAAGTTAGTGGGAGGGTGTAATTCCATTGTTAGTCATGGAAAAGAGAATCTATTACATTGTCTTCTCCAGTTTCTAAAAGCTGCCTTCATTTCGTAGATGTTAGATCCCTCCCTCCATCTTCAAAGACAGCAATACTGCATTTTTTTCCTATTATCCTATGAGTATATGTCATATCTCCCTCTAATTCTCTGTTCTGCCTCTCTGTTCCATTTTTAAAAAGGAACTTCTGATTGCATTGGGCCCAGATTAGCAGTTAATAACTTGTATATCCTTAAATACAAGGATAACGTTATATCCTAACTTGTATATTACTTTTATCCTGTAAAGTAACATATTCACAGATGAAAATCTTTAAGGGGCCATTATTTTCCCTACTACTTTCTTTAGCAAACATTTATTTCCTTTCATCTCACCACATGGGGGAGTATATTTCTTTACTCTGTTGAGTTTGCTTTAGCCTATATAATGTGAGCAGAGCAGAGGTCCCAGCGTCCCAAACCTAGGTATGTCCTGGTCTCTCTGAAAGCATTTGAACTCCACTAAAAGATCTACTGTCTGTCCCTCGAAGTAGAGCCACCGCAGCCAATGCAGAGACCTGAAAGCGTGAATCCTGTTTTGGGTTGTTTTTTTTTAATGCCATAAAGGCTTACCAAGTTAGTTAATTATCGCTCCAAAGCATGATGCTCCGTATTGCTATTACCATCCGGTAACTATAATAGAGAAGCTGACTTTTGCAATTCTGCATGAGATGTCATTGGTTCATACTCAGACTCTGTGATTGAGGCTTCCAGAGCTATGTGCTTCATGGTCCTGAACTATTAGTACTTTTATATATTCTGGGAGAAGATGAATAGACAGTAAAACCTAAGAAAAGTGAGCATTTCTTTTGAGTTTGTTCTCCCGGACTGTAAATCCATCACTGCCAATTGTTTGAGAACCACGAATCTGTGACCTACCAAACCTATCATTATAAGTTCACTGAGACATTATTTCTTTCTTACAGTATGCTTATCATCCTGCCTCCCTTCTTACTGAGTAATATTTAAAACAAACCAAACTTCTTACAAAAATATGAAACTTTATCTCAATGAAAATCAAGCCAGGGAAGGGGGAGAGGTAACTTCAGAATTATTGAGTACAGTGAACACTATCTGGGCAAGGGCACCCTCACATGGACAACTTTCACTCCATCTATACAAACACAAAACATCTGTACCCCCTAACATTCTGAAATTTTAAAAGTGCAAAAAGAAAATGAAACATGAATAAAAGTACCTTAAATGTCCATCTGTAGGTGTAAAGTAGATTCCCGGATCCCATTAGTGTCTGTGGGGCATTTGTGTTTATGTGTGGTTACGTACACAGACTCATGTACACAGAGAGAAAGAGAATGGTCTTAAAGTTGCTCCTTGTGTGTCTGGATCTCAAATGTTGCTTTAGGTGCATGTGGTTATTGTTGCTTGGTTTTCATGTTGTTAGCTTATTCTCTCTCCCAAGCACAGCAACTCTATTCATAACTTACTATGCTCCACAAGAGCCTCTGTTTGCATTCTCCCTAAAATACAATTATTGCTATTTCTTACATTTTTTAAATCCTTAGTAGTAACTTTCTAAGAGTTCTTTATAATATGTTCACAGTGGATCCTTCAGCTATTTTGAACCTACTTTCTTGTAGTACATTCCCATAACTGTCAAGCTGAAAAAAATCCACTTTACCAGAAACACAATATAAAGAAGAGTTGTAAATATTTCCACTGACTGTGCCCACATTACCATTGAAGACCAACGAACCCTGTGGCATGTCTTGTCCTCTGTTTCTTCCACCATTGGCATTTGAATTTTCCAGGGTTCAGTTTGACTTTTATGTCTGCTAAGTCTTCCATTCCTATTCTATTTCTTTCAGGCAGCTCCACCTGAATTGTTACAAGTCCTATGTAGTTTGTTAAACTAATTTGGCATCTTTTCCAACAGAGAGAGCCAATGTGCTTTCTGCATTTGAGTATCATTATTCCTTGATATTTTCTTTGTCTTAGAACAGACCTTCATTGTTTTTATTCTAAAATGCTCCTTTATATTTTTTTTCTTGCAAATTCCCATCTGTAAGATATCAGTGTAATGGTTCTGAGCCTACCAACCCATTAATTGATTAAGAAAAACCTCCTGACTCTCACTTTCTTCTTTACAATTATTCCCGAAATGATGTATTCCTATTGCCTAATCAAGGTCCAGGAGGAATTTTCTGTGGTCAGATTCATTTCTCTGCATCTTCTCTTATAAAATGTATATTTCCTCCTGACATTCACATACTAAAATGCTGTAGTTCTGAAAGTTTCCTGTGACCATATCTACTTCCCTAACTACAGAAAATGTGTCACTTTCTTGAACTTTCAGAACTTTTCCATCAAATCATTTCAAATCACATATAATCACCTAGAATAGGTGCCCAAATGGCACAGGAGAGGCTCCTCAATTGCTCTCATAATCACCTTCCTCTCACCCATTTTCAGAGCACATCTCTTAATTGATTTTCTTGATACAGCTTTCTTCTGGGGTTACGCAGTTGTAGTCTGATCACCAAAATCTCTACTTTGTTAAACAATGTTGGGTTTCATTGGCCTGGTAAAATCTGAAATGTTCAGTGTTTTCTAGCCTCATTTTAGCAAAACTTGGGAACATCTTTATATTCTTTTAAACTTTATAAATCTCTAGGCATTAAAATTTTAACCTATTTCTTAGAAAAACATATCGTGTCCTCCAGTGTTTGTCTCTGCTCTATTTATTTCTTATTCTTTTAATTTCTGACTGTTTCTGTTTGACTTGATTTTCGAGAACATTATTTCTGAGTATCTGACCAAAACCGCTACTTTAAGACAGATTTTTTTCAGGTACAAATATTTGTGGTAGCTTTTGCTTTTTCTCTTCTCATACTTTTCCTCTATATTATACTTCTCCAAAATAACACAGAGTCTCTGTTAAATCCCAGGACTTTCATAATCAATGGGAAAAGTTCACTGCTATTTTCAACAAATGCTTTAAATGGATGCTATCTTTGGTTTTGAAACTGTATAATGCATAGATATAGTTTTGATTTGTTAAAATTTTGAAATAGGTTTGCACAATTTCCATGGTAACAATAACAAAGATGCTTCCATTTCTATCCATCATGGACTTCAGTTACCACTTGGGGCAACCTACCAAGCTGCCCAATTGAAAACTCTTATAGCTAAATGGAAACAAACTAAGTAATTGGAAAGGGGAGAATTTTGCACTTCAATTTTATTTAATAACAGGCAATGCATTTTCATGCATCCCTTTAATTCTGCCAATATAATTTAATTAATAATGAAATATAATATGGAACATTGTCACTGGATTAAATGGGATTCTTATGCAGCATTCTCTGTTAGGCTGTATGGGACATTATGGTTAATCATCCTTTGAGATGGATTATGGCACAAAGAGCAAATTTATCCTCAAAGAGTATATGTTTGTGGAATTAATTTATTAATTAATTTATGTCTTGATTTGATTCATTTCAGGGTTTCCACATTCTGTACCTTAATTTTTCATCACCAGGCATTACAGAACACTGTCTCTCAAATTTTAACATGTACTGATCATCTGTGGATCTTTCTAAAAATGGTAACTCAGATTTAGTGTCTAAGAGAGGTTTCAGTTTTTGCATTTTTAACAAGCTACTAGGTGATACGAATGCAAGTGGTCCTCAGACTACTCTTTGAGTTATCAACTTTTGACCTAACAGGGCAAGATTTAGCTGATATGCTACTGTTTTCCCTCCAGGCAGAACTCCTCACATCCGTTTATTAAATTGCATGTGCAAAAGAACAAAATAATTTGAGATTGAAAGGGAGTTTAAGCTCAAATTGTCTCTCTTTTGATGTTCTTTTGGCTATGAAAATGGGACAATTTAAGCCATTGTACCCACACGGATGAATTTTGAAGAAAGTTTCAACTCCTCTGTTTCTCCCTTTCTCTTCTTCACAAGTAGTGTTGTTGGTTTGGTTGGCCAGAGGACAACATATTTATTCACTGGAACACACTTAACAATCAGAGTTGTTTTGCTTTATAAGTATAAACTTATAAACTTTTCCTTTTATGCTACTATTTAATATGTATTAGTCTTGCTTTTTGTAATAGGGAGAAAAGCTATTTTTCACTTTTGTCCACCACATGGAAGACAGAATTGGAAGGTTTTATTTGCAGAGGCAGGGTCACCCTTACCCTGCTCATTGATTAAGCTTCCACAGAAGACTGAATGGATAAGATGAAGAAGACAATGTGTCTTCTCTTGGAGTCCAGATGTCATTGATCCTGAAGGCCTGCTATTTAACTTAAATGACTATTTTCCACTTAGTACAAATAACAGAAAGGTTATACATTTGTGAATGTATGTATATGTTTATATAAGAAAAGGTAAAGAAAATTAAAAAAAATTCCAACAATTCAGCTGATGTGTGAATCCAAACTAAAGTTTGAAGAAAGAATCCAAGTAGGGTTGGAAACGTACTGGAAGAAATCAATTAAACTCACTTAAGTAGAGAATGTACCAAAAAAAAAATCTGAATTGCTTTTGGGCCTAAAACAAAATGCAATTTTGAGAAAGCATTGATAGGTGTTCATTTTTTCTCTGGAATTGTATTACTCCGTTTATTTGGGATTCCTTTTGAGTTAATTCAATCATGAAGAACTGTTTCATTTTCTTTACCTTCCTGATGAGGGAGAAAGAAATCCCCCCCTCCAAAGAATCCTTGTAATAAATTTTTTAAAAGATTTGAAAAGTAATCAATTATACCAAATTCTGCTAAAGTGTGATTTTTTTATTTTTATAAATAATACTCTTTTTTTACATTAAGTACTTCATGCCTATTCCTAGGTCACTTATGATAGTTTTCCTGTTTTCAGTTGCAATATGAGTGTTCCCTTTCCTAATTTTTTTTTTAATATGGAATACTTCATGAATTTGCATGTCATCCTTGCGCAGGGGCCATGCTAATCTTCTCTGTATTGTTCCATTCCCTTTCCTAAATTTTGATTATTTTATTTTTATGATTTTAATTTATATTGGATGTGTCGAGGTAACTATATTTATTTTATAACCTTGTATTTCCATACTAGGAAAAACACACTAAAACTTCTCATTATGTAATGAAAGTACCCTGAATTTATTACAGGATATAGTAACTATGTAAGTGTCTGCATTACTGCTTTTTTGTTGTTTGTTGTTGATGAATAGGGGTACAATTGCATGATATTAGTGGTGAAACTTTGGAAAATGTGTCTTTGGGAAAGGAAAATGTGCATGGATCCTTATATCAGAAAAGGTAAAGAAAATTTTAAAAAATTTTAAGAGGATTTCAGTCCAGTATGAACATTCTATTTTCACTCTCTTAAGATTTATCTTTTTTTGATTGCTAGAAAGTCTTAATTTTATGGTAGTCCAAATTATAATTTTTTTGGCTTCATTTTTAGTGCTTTTTTGTCCTGTTTAATAAATTTTTACCAATACCATCTAGGTTTTCCCAAATAAAAGCTTAAATTAATTAGGAATTAAATTTTTTACATAGTGTAAGGAAAGAGTCACAATGAATTTTTTATATGGATATCTAATTAAACTTCTACCTTTCACTGAAAACATCACTTCCCTGCTGCAAGCTCAAACTTCCCTTTGCCATAAATCATATGGTCATGTATATATGAATATGTTTCTGGAATTTCTCTTCTATTCATTGAATTGCTTATTTTTATTATTGCATTGGTATTATAATGATTTCTGTATTTTAGCTCTGTGAGAACTCTTGATATTTAGTAATATATACTTAGCCAATGTTTTATACTTATTTGGATGCAGCTGGATAAATTTTCGCAAAGTGAACATAAATTGGTGACATTACCCAAACTGCAGAACACCCTTATGCATCTTTGCAGTCAGGATTATTGTCCAAAGATGTATAATATCTTGACATCTAGAAACACTTTAATAAAAGCCTTTTGTAATTGTGTCCTGCCCCTAAGAGGTATGCCATACACTGTAACCCCCACCCCCCTCCCTCCTTCTCCTCTCTCCCTGATCTTCATTAATTTTCATCAATTCTTTATAGGTGAAATCTTCTGTAGTAGCTACCTCATGATTCCTTGGGAGGGTGTTGCTCTATTCTGTTTTTTCATGTTGCCAGTATTTTTTTATTCTCCATCAGGTGTGTTTTCTTTTTGTTCACTTCCTACTCCTAATTTTTCTTTCCCACTACCTCCTTCACTTTCAATTACTTGTTCCCAGAGCTTAAGTATTGAAATGTCCATTTGGTATAAAGCCAAAAGGAAGTTAAGGGTAAAGAGTGAGATGGGAGAAAGAAAAGAAAAAGATAAAGAAGATAAATAAAAAAGAAAGAGTATGGAAAGAATTGAAGAAAAGGAGAGAAAGAGGATAGTAAGAGAGAAAGAGAGCAACAGGAGAAATGGTGGTGTTTGGCCTGGTGCTTTAACCACACCCACAGCTCTACAATTTTGTAAGGTTGGTATGAGTGGGTCTGTCTATGTAAGGAGCTCCTTACTGGCCTGGGCAAAAGCAGGAACCCATCTCTGCCACATATAGAAAGAGATCAGTAGTATGTCTCAGTAAGAACCTACTAATACTTTCTTTCCAAAGCCCAAAGCCAAAAGTACACCCTAGAACATGAGATCATGGTCTCCTTAAGCCAGACTAATGCTGTTAAAAATCTCTACTAAAAGAGAGAAAAAGGAAAGAAGTAAAAAATTAATGAGTAAAAGAGGCTGAAAAACCGTGATAATAATGGAGTAACCCTTGTTGAAAAAAGTAAAAATGAAAAAATACATATACAAACAAAAAAAAAACCAAAACAAAACAACTAAACAAAAAATAACAACCATGAAAAGGAAAAAAAAAAGACAAGATTAAAGAAAATTTTGAAAAGATCAAAATATGTAAAATGTAAAACAATATATATGTCTGTGGATCTGTCTATCTATCTATCTATCTGGACACCAGGTGGGACTGTGGTCTTAGGAGACAGAGAAGGTATGCTGGATTTTCTGCATATGATGGGGGTTGGAAGTCACTCTAGTTGCAAAGAGAACAAGTTTCTACTTTCGAACTTCTTTGCCCTCAATCTGAGCCTGTCTGTTTCAACATTCAGTAGTCACCAGACTGGATTCTGAAAGCTTTTACCAGACCTCCCAGGTGTTCCATCAGCTAGTGTCCTCTGACAACGCTGGCCCTTCCCGGGGGATCAGGAGTCACTCAGCTCACTCCAAGGATCACTGCTTGAGCTCAGCAAGCCCTCCAGAGTCAGCCATGAACCAAGACCCCGCAAACTGTTCCTCCCATGTGGGCAGTCTTCTCACAATGGCAATGCCCCAATAGCAGCCAAGCTGATGAAAGAATCATCCTACTTGGCATTCAACCCCAGGCACTGGACACTGTTCAAGTCTATTCACTACTCCAGCGAGCAACCCAGTTCAAAATCGAAATACTGTAAGATAGCTCTTTCCCTTTTCCAGCCCTCCACAGGAGAGGCAGCCAACTGTCCAGACTCTGCACCAAGCACCTAACCTCTGCATAGGCTTTCCTTAGCTCTGACTTCCTCATGGGCTCCTACTGTTTCACTGTGCATGAGGAGTTCAAGGTGCATTTATTGAAACCCACCTATGATTCTTTCAAATTCTAGATGTAATAACCTTAGGTGCTAATGATTTTCTGGAAAAATAGTTTACCATGTTAGGGTAAAACTTTCTTACCTTACCTTTCCCTCTAGAAATTATTATTTTTTTAATTTTATCATTTCCATGTGTGTGGTAAATAAAGATAGCACTATACTAAACTTCACAATAAACAACATCCTAATGAAACAGAAGTAACCTGAGTAAAGTGTCAAATGTGTAATAGTTTGTAAAAGCTAAAGTTGTGGATCAAATGCCATTAGTTCAAAGCACAATTAAAATTATCAAGTCCTGTATTTAGTTGCTCAGGAAAACAATAATATTTTTAAAGTTTATTAGAAATATAAAATTAATACAATTAGAAGAATCATACAATTGTTTTAATGCCACCACTTTTTCCTATTAGTTTTCTTTTCTGTCTTTATATGTACAGTTATTACAGACTGAAAATGATACTGGAGTTTGAATATTTTTTTGTATGGTTCAACTTAGCTTCACCCTTTCCTTCTCCATATTGACTTCAGCGGAAGTAAATTACCTTTAAGTAGAAATTTGTGTCCCTATCCATAAAACCTTCTAAATTAACTTACTTTACCATTTAAACTTTTGTTAAAATCTGAAGTACTTTATACTATAATTTATGCCAGAAGGTGGCACCAAAAGACTCACGTTCAAAATCTCTTTATTAATAAGTATATATGATGATTGTATGTTCAGGTTTCTAAATACAGGACAATGGCATTGCTAGTGTGGGTCAAGATGATAAAAACAATACATACATTTTAAGAATGTATGTGATGCTGGCAAGAAAGACTTAATTGTGACTGCAGATATGGTAGTGCAGAAATAATTCTAATGGTGCATACTCATTCTTACAAACTGATATGCACTTCTGAGCTCCTTAAAGACGGTAGCACAGAAATAATTCTAACAGTGCATACTCATTCTTACAAACCAACATGCATTTCTGAGCTCCTTAAAGACAGTTACTGATGCATCATCAAAGACACGCCAAGGAAAAATAGCATATCTTTCTCTCAGGGAAGTAACTTTCTGCGAAAGTTTCCCATCATGAAACTTAAGCCATTTTAGTTTCTTTGATCACTTTAAAGGTACAATGCCACAGTAAGGACAAAGAATTTCCATGCTCCCTCAGTATTATTGATATTATATTCCCTTCCTTTCAGTTGCTTTTCTCATGGGATGTAGTTAAGATCAATCATCAGAGCTCAAGTTCCAGTGTCAAAATACAAGAAATTGAATTACTTTTCTGACATTTGATAGCTGTGTGACAACTGGGCAACTTAAATAATTCTCTTGACACCCACCCCTCACGGCCACCTCTCTGTCTCTCTGTTTTTCTCTGTATATTGCTCTTTTTCTGTATCTCTTTCATGAATGTGCTAACCTTACTTTGTGATATGGCTGCACTGGGAATACAAAATATACCTAAAGTGCTTAGGTAAGTCTCAGCAACTTCTATGAATTCAACAAATGTTATGTGTCAGTAACACCATTTTTAAAAGAAAGTTTTCTTTATGAATACTATCTCTAAAGGACCCTTAATCTTAAATTTCCAAATATAAAAATCCTTGGAGTTGAGTTTAGTTAGGAAACATAAAGAAACTTGTCTGATTAGCTACGTAGTACAAAAAATTATACTGATTCTTTACTTTTCTATAAAATTGTCACAAGTACCAAGTTGTAAATATTTCAACCCCCTGCTAAAATGAATTTCTTGCAAATATCTATGTTTGGGTACTTACTTTGTAAAATAGACAGAAAAAACATGTGAAAGAGTTACAATTTAAGAAATGACAATGTTTGTGAAATCAAAAACCATCCAGCTAATTTAGGCAGAAAAAGAATAAATTTGGTGAAAGATGTTACACTTAATGATTTCATATACAGGGTGAGTGATGTACTTGAATTATATATTCATTATATATTCATACGTATATGAATATATACATATGTATATAGCATATACATATGTACATATGCATATATACATCTGCAATACATACATATGTATATAGCATATTTATATTTGACCCATAAAAAGAAAAATATTTAAACTGATAAGTCAGGTGAATTTGCTGCAGGAAGTTAGGAAATTCTATTTCATTTTTGGTGTATGTAGCTATCCTAAACAATAGGGAAAATAAGTATATCACAATAGTTACTTAGTTAACCAGTATTTACAAAACAAAGGCTTATTGAAGTTACCAAAATGAAAAGTCTAATGTTCTACTTGGTTAATCTCAAAAAACATAACATTTTTATATTACCTCCATAAAAATAGATTTAATATTAATCAAAAAGTAGGTAGCTATGAGCTAAATACATTACTATAAAGAACTGA